GAGGGGGGGAGGGGCGGAGACAACAATGTCTCAATCTGAGTCCCTTCCCTCCCTGCCTGTGGGAACCGCTAGGCAGTACTGACCTCGCTCCAAAAATAGCTCAGACCACCAGCCCCCCTTTCTATATCCCCCGCCAGACCGCCTCCCTTACTACCACCCCCTCCCGGACCCCAGCCAAACCACAGCGTCCGGCTTGGAGCTGTTTCCTTATTGCCTAACCCGGTGGGAGGGTGAGGACTAAGAGGAATGGGAGGTGTTGGGGATCAGAGATCTTGGAAAGATAAAATGGGAGGACAGTGAGAAAGGAATACGCTTACCTGTCCGAGCCCGGCCCGCTTCTTCCGGGCTGTGTTAGCGTCACCTCCAGTGGGCCCTGCAGCGATGGGAAAGAGATGCCGAGGGATCAGAGGCCTGGCTACACCGCATCCCTAGACTTTGCCTCAGAGGCTCCACAAGTTAAGGGATTAATCAACGAGAAGTACGCGGGTATCGCTTCTCCCCGGGTAGTCTAGAAATGGAGCTCCTCTGCTTCCCCCCTCCCTTCAGTCAGAATGTGCTACAGTCGTGGGGTCTGGAGTGGGACGATAAAAAGAAAGTTTAGCCCACTCTACTCTTTACCCTTCTAAGATATATTCAGTTATCCCATTACCAATCTTCCCTTCCCTCCCTCTGAGCAGGTCGTTGCAAGCCGCTGGTCGACCTCAGGGAAAGGAAGAAGACATACAAGGGGAAAGGGGATTCCTTTAAATGAGGCTTCTAGTGTTCCTTAATTTCCCACCCACGGCCCAGGACTGGGAAGGGTTCCTCTACTGGGGGCACCTCGGAGGACCGCGCGCATTTGGGTGGGACACTAGTAGTCCCCTTTCCCTTCCGATGAGCCTGGGCTTCTAGCTCACCGGCCCTGGACACTTTTCCCGGTTGTCCACCAGTTTCCAGGCGCTTCTGTCAAGACAGGGGCTCAAGAAAGAGTCCATAAACCCGCCCGGGAACCTCGCCAAGCGGGAACCGCGCCACGGTACCAGTGCGCTCCGGGCCGGGCAGCAGCGAAAGAAAAGAGGGAGGGGGAAAGAGGGACAGAGAGGGGTGGGAGGGGGACCTGGGACACCTGTCCCCAGAGCTCTAGGGGGTGGAGGGTGGTGAGGCGAAGAGCGACGACCCTATCCGGGCTTGGGGACTTCCAGTTCCTCTCTGAGATTGCTTAGGTCCTTTCTCCTTCTAGGAGGACCCTGTCCTTCTAAGGTTCTGGGTGGAATCTCAGCCGCGATTTTTGGGGGGCAAAGCACAACCTTGCCCTCAGTTGGCAACCCCCCCCTCCCTCCCTCCCTCTCTTCTCTCTCCCCTCTCCACCCCCTGTCACTCCCCGCCCCTCTATATTTATCCTCCCTCCGCCTCCGCCAGGTGCTGGCGCCGGCCCCGCGGTGCAACCCGCCCCACCCGGGCACTCAGCCACCAGGCCTGCCGGGGACCCCAGGGCGGGTGGGAAGGAAACACTGAGGAGAATGGGAAAGACTGCTCGGACCCCCATTGTACAAGGAAGACTCTTGGTTTATGTCAGTGGTATGAGAGTGAAGGTTCAGAGCCTACCCACTCCTTGCCTCAGTTTCCCCACGTGGGGGAGTCAAGTGAGTCTTCCCTCATTCCCTGGAGGTTTTCCACTGGCTCACCGGGGGTGGGGGGTGGGGAAGGAAAGCTCTGTACTGGGTGGATGAAGAGTGTTCAAGGGTACACGACAGTAGGGACCCTAACCCACAACACAAAACTCAATATCAGGTTCCCTCCTACCCCGCCTAGCTCCCCCAAAGGAATTGATGTCTCTGGCCCCAGCCCTGGCAGTCAGGGAGCGGAGCGGACTCAGGAGTCCGAGTCGCCTAGCCGGACTCTCCACATTCCTCTGTGCTGGCGGAGGCGGAAGGAGACGGGACGGGACGCGGGCCAGGAGAAGAAGGGAGAGGCCGGGCCAGGCAGGGCCACGCGTGACGCCTCCCCTGCCTCTGGGCCCCAGCAGGTGGACAGCGCCCCAGAGTGCCGCGTGGGGCCATCAGAAAGGTCCTGCCTGGGGTTGCCCCTCTGCCCCCTGAGAGGGAAGACAGAAATCCTAGGGCTGGGAGAGAAGATTCCCTTCCCCCGCCCACTTTGGCCTCTCAAAGGGACGGGGACAGCACAAGGGTCTGGAGGAGTAGGGAAAGACGCCCGGCTGGAGAGAAAGAATAGAACTGCAAGCCTCCCGAACTTACCCTCCCGCAGCTCACCGAACCCGGGGTCCGAAGCTCAAAGGTCTCCTCGTCTTCGTCCTCGTCCGCGTCGCCGCCAAGCTCTCCGTCCCCGTAGTCCCTCCGCAGTAGAGTGAAGCCCCGACGGCAGCAAAGGAGCCACCAGAGCCCCCCCGGGAGAGGCATCCGGACAGCAGGGGGCTTGGGGGCGCAGGCGGCTGCGTCGAGCCGCAGGAGGGGAGGATGGTTGGGGGTGGGGAGTCGCGGAAACAGTCAGGTCGCGGGACTTGGGCCAAGAAAGAAGGAGGCAGCGTGCGGGGCCAGGAGAAGCTGAGGTATAGGGCAGGGTCTGAAGCTGGGGTGCAGTAGGACTCTATGCAGAGCCTGAGGGAGATTCAGTGTCTGGGGCCTGTGGGGGGGGGGACACACTCCAGGCCGGGGGGGAGGAGGTAGCAATGTCCGGGGCTGGGAAGTAGTGTCCGTTGTAGTGTCCGGCCCAGTGAGGGGCAGTGTCCGGTGCGGTGTCCAAAGTGGGCAGTTATCCAAGCTCCAGGGAGGGTCGTGTCCGGTGCAGCGTCCGGTGTCCGGGGCCCGGGCCGCGCGCGCTGCGCTCCCTGCAGCCCCGGGACTGGCGCGCGGGGGGCGCGAGCTCAGCGCCTGGGCTCCGCCCCCCCGCGCGATTCTTTTTGCCGCCCCCCCTTCTCTTCTTTTTTTCTCTCCTCCCCTCTCCCTGAACAAGGCAGGGTCTGGCTGTCGTCACAGACTCTTTCGACCAATTCCAGTGCCTGGCGCCGGGAGCTTCAGCCAATTGGGTGATGGAGGTAGCGGCGGGTTGCATCATGTGCCCCCTGGCTTAGTGACAGCCAGGAGGGGCGGGCTAAGGCGAGGGAGAGAAGGAGCGAAGAGATGTTAACCACGCCCCGGTCTCTGAGGTCCTGAGAGGGGTGTTAGACGCCAAGACAGCCCCGCCTCCACGCTCTGCTTTTAACCCTTTAAATGCCTTCCCAAAGAACTTGAACTTGATGAGGGGGGGCGCGAAAGGTGATGGACTCAGGGTGTAGATTGAGATATGTATTTTTTGGACATGGTCAGTGAGGAATTAATTTATGCATATTCTTCATTATGCGTATTTGTTACAAGGGTTTTTTTTCCTTTTTCGGTGGGGGAGGGGAGGTGGGAGGGAGTTTTTTTCATGGAAATTTTAAATAAAAAAATAAAATGACAGACTGAAAAAAAAAATCCTGGAAGAGGGCTCTTCTTGAAGCAGATTCTCTAGTGGCAGGGGGACAAGGCGCTTGGGGGAGAAAAGATAGGTAGCCTAGAGGGAGTTCAGGGTACTTTTTTCTGGCCCAATGAGATCTGTGCCTTGGTCCCAGGGGCAGGTGTGGGAAAGCTTTCTCGGGACTCGGGCCGGCCTAAGTGGGAAGGATGTTTTCCTCGATCTTCTGTAGAAGGAAGAAAACTTGTTACTCTCTGCCCATGCCAACCTCCTTTCGGGGGCGGGGGCGGGGGGGGAACTGAGGCAAGCACTTAGTCCACGGAGGGCAAGAATAGGAATCAGAATTTTCGAGCTCAAAACTTCCCCCAAAACTCGAGCTGGGAAGTTGCATCCTGGATGGGGGGAGCCCGGTAGCTCTAGGCTAGGTGTAAGAATTACTTCCCCACCCCCTCCCCTATCTCTACTCTCATCCCTGACACCTATTCAGCCTCCTCCTCCAGCTTCATGTGGTCCAGGGTAGGAAGGAGTTAACCAAGTCGCTCGGTTGGGAGAAGGGGAAGGCGAGGATTTTGAGGGAGGGGCCCAGACAGAGTCCAGGCGTGCACAGGCGGAGGGTCGGGAGCGCGCGCTGCTGACTCAGCAGCGCTTCCTGCAGTCTCTGGGTGAAGGGTTCGGGACTCGAGTCCCCAGCGGCTGGAGTGTTATGCCCTCTCTGGGAATCAGCACCGCCTCCCCCCCCCATCTCTCTCCCTCTCCCTCGCGGCCCCTGGAGGAGACTGAGGCCGAACTTGGGAGTGGTTTCCCAGATCCAGGCTCCGCTAGGGTCGCAGGGGGGTCCCAAGAGGATAGACCCGCCGGAGTAAAGAAGGCATACTGGGGAGGGGCTGTGCCGGGGCTCCGCCCAGACCCACCCCGCCCCTCCTCCGTCCACTGTTGAGAGCAGGCTCGGCCCTAGGCTGTGAAAAAATACCCTTGGGGTCGGTCACGTGTGCCTTGGAGGTTTGCCTCTGGTTAAAAAGAGCAGGATTTAAAGGGACTTTCCCCAGAGGTCAGCGACTGACCTCCACCAAAGAGTTCCCTCCTTAGCTTGGACAGACGGAAGGTAGTCTCCTGGGATGGACACACTCCTCACCCTTCCCCTCTTCTTTCCAAACCTTCTACCCTTGACAGTCAGGAAGTTCTTCCTCTCTCCTGCAGGCTCATCCCGTTTCCTCCGACTCTGTGTGCAGAAAAGATGGAGAAAGGGCCCCGGGAACTCCGCCCCCCCCAATTAAGACTTAGGAGGCAGGTCACTTCCCTGTCTGTAACTCAATTTGCTTCTCTGTGAAATAGAGTGGAAGACCCTTTCCAGCTCGGATAGTCTATGAGGCAATCTATTCTAGAGACTTGAAAGCCCCTAACTGCAAACTGCTTGCTTTAAACTTGTTTTCTTTACTATTTTGTTTTCTGTACGAAGCAATCTGCCCTCTCTCCCTCGATCGTTGCAGTTTCCACCCCACATCAACTGTTTCTCAGGGCTTGAAGGGAGAGGGGCAGGGCAGTAACCTGCCAGCCAGTCATTTCCAAGTTGCTCAATGAAAACCCTAACAGTTGTTGATTGCATCTAATTTTCAGGTAATCTTGCGCTAAATCACGTTTGAATTTTAATTTTAATCTCGAAACAAACAGAAGAAATTGCCTTCCTGTCTCCCAATCCTCTCCTGTGTCATCTTCCTTTCCCCAGTCCCATCCAATCTCCTGCCTTATTCTCCAAACATATATTTATGTATGTATATTATATATATATACATTCCCAGTTCCTCAGGAACAAGAGTCCACTAAAACGAGAGGCTGTGGGTCTCGGTGGGAGCTGAGCATGAAGAAAGACGGGGTCGGCGAGGACAGCGGCCTCGTTGACTGAATCTGTGTCGGAAACACCCACCTCGAAGCAATCTCCTGAGATCCTGGCGAAAGCGAAGCCCTAGGAAGGCGTAAAGTACAGGATTGAGGCCACAACGAGCCAGGGCCAGACCACCGGTCACCAACAGTGCCATATCCTTGCGCTTGCTAGCTGAACAACTTCTCTCTCTGGCAGTCAGCAGGTCTGTGGTGTCCAGCAACAAGGCTAGGCTGTAGGGTAACTGTAGGACCACGAAAGCCACCACCAAGGCCACCACAACACGCAGGGCTCGGCGACGTTCTGGCCCTCTGGCGGCTAACAGTGTCCGTCCCAACAGGGCGTAACAGGCCACCATGACTGCGAGGGGCAGCGCAAAGCCCAGGATCACCTGAGCTACGGCGCTGGCCCCCTTGACTGCCTGGGTCAGACCCTCAGGAAATACCAGTCGGCATCGCCTTTGCCCATCTCTCTGCCCATCTTGGCCATAGAGGAGAGAGGGCAGCGCCAGGAGCAGGGAAAGCAGCCAGATTGCTGCGGAGACCACATGGGTCCTCCCAGGAGCTGGGGGCCTGTGGCCCCCTGGGGAAGCCTGAGCTATGGCCACGTAGCGATCAGCACTTATGCTAGCCAAGAAGAGGAAGCCTGCATGGAAGGAGGCGGAGTAGAGTCCTGAGACTGTTCGGCAGAGAATACTGCCCAGCGTCCATCCCTGCAGAGCTCCGGCTGCTGCGAAGGGCAAGGTCAATGCCAGAAGTAGGTCTGCCAAGGCCAGCTGGAGTAAATGAGCTGAGGTTGGTGAGCGGGCTGCTCGGTGGGCAGCGAGGTGGGTGGCCAAGACAAGGCCATTTCCCGCCAGGCCAAAGGCGGCTACTGTGAGAGAGATACTTGGCTGAAACGCCCTGCTGAAAGACTGGACATCAGCCTTATGGCATAGTTCTGGTAGAGTCACTGAAGGGTACACATCATCACTATCCCCAGAGTAGAGGGTAGACCAGGTGACCTAGGGAAGAAAGGGAGGAGATAGGAATAGATCCGATAAGACCCCCTCCCCCAACACATTTGCTAGCTCCTAAGAGTTGCACCTAACACATTGTAAGCTAGGGGCAGTATTAGGATAGTCTTCTCAAAACTAGCCCAAAACAGAGCTCCCCACGCCAGACCACTGAGTGAGCCGTGTCTAGAAACATAAGGCTCTGGGGCAAATGTGGCTCAATTAGCATTTGTTGATTTGGCTTAATGTTCTATCTCCTTTCTTGGTGGTGGGCCAATAATGCTGGTTACTCATTAGATATCAGACTGGAGCCTCACTGTGGTCTTGGAGGGGGTGGAGTGGGGAATTCTGCTTATTCTGTTTTTGTCTCTGGTTTTCTTTGCCTGTCTTTCTGCTCCTCCCCTCACCCTACCCCCAAGACAGCTGTGCTAACCACTCTTGGCCTGGTTTTCTCCCGGGAATCATTTGACCAAAACGTTAGGGGATTCCCAGGGCTCAGGCTCTTCTGATACCTAACTACTGTCTTGATCAAGGCTCAGTGGTCCTTCTCACCTTCCTATAACCCTTAGATCTAGATGGTTCAAATGTCTGAAAGCAATACTGGTGTCCAGGATCAGAGGCAGTGACAAGAAAAAAAAAAAACATCGACAGCTCCTGCCGAGCTGAGCAGCGCTGGGGGCTACCAATAACTAACCTGTGATCCCTTGCATACCCTAACCCAATCCCCATTTCCATCCCTCTACCCTCATCCCGAGTCCCACCTGTTCCAGTGGTTCAGTCCCCATCTCCCCGTGAAACCGGTTTCTGAGGTGGTCTGGTTGGGGGAGAAGTTAAAACTTGTGGGACAGGAAGGAAGGGGCGGAGAGTGAGGGTGAGGGAGGAGAGGCTAAAGATTAGGGGCCCTTTGGTCCTGTTGTCCCCATCTCTCTCCTCTTTACCCCCCTTTCTTCTGCTTTCTCCACTCCCCCTCCTCCCCTTCCTGTCCCTGATCCAGGCATCCTATCCTCCTTCCAATCTTGACCCCTTGTTCCCCAAACCTCCATCCCGCCTTTTCTCTGAGCCTCCTAATATTGTATGTCCCCTGCCTCTATCTCGCAGATTTTGCCCCCTCCAAGTTATTCTTCAGGAAAGTGCTATGAATTCAGCTATTACTGTTCTTTTCAGAGTCGAATGCACTGTACTTTAACAGAGATGATGCTCTCCTACAGCTTCCCCTATTTTCCAATTCCCCTACTTGCCCTGATCTTTCTGTTTTTCTCTGTATTGTTATCTTCAGAGATTTCCCCGCATCAGCTCCTCTAACCCTCTCTCATCCCATTTCCCGCTTGTCCGTGTTGCGTGCGCGCGCGCGGGGTCCTGGGAAGCGGCGCGTGAGGTGGGAACGCGAACCGGGCGGGGGAGGCTGGGGGATGTAAGAGGAGAAGACAGGGAAAGGCTGGGAGGGGGGAGAGAGGTGAGGGTGGGCAAAAAAAGGGGGGGACAGATTAGGAGAGAGGGAGAAGGGGAGAAGAGGGGAGAAAAGGAGAGAAGACTCTGGATCTTTAAAAATCGCAAGGGAACAACTGAGAGCTGGGCAGAGCCCAGGGCCCTTCTGGGCACCATGGGCACCCCGTTGCTCTGCATTCTGCTTGCAGCGGTCACTGGAGCCAGAGCCTGGGGCTGGTGTGAGTATCGGGCCGGAAGGAGGTGCAGGGAGGATCAGCAACCAGCAACCGAAGGATGCTGGCGGGCGGGTCTGGAATCCAGCCGCATTGCGGTTGAAGAATGGTGGTGGCGTGCCGATAGTATAGAAGGGATTTCTTGAGCCTCCTTCCCAATTTCGAGTCCTTTTCCCTCATGCCTTCCCTCTCTCTCCCTTTCCCAGTGCTTCCGCAATGCAGCTCCCAGACAAGGACCCCAGTTCTTCCGCACCCCTCCCTTCTCTTTCTCTACCCTTTCCCGTAGCTCCCAACCTCCCCTGAGTTCTGGAGCTCTCCGGTCCTAGGTGTCAGGTCTGGTTAGGAAGCCAGATGACTGTTAATCCTCCTAGGCTCTAGGGGTTCTGCTGCAGCAGAGATCAGTGCAGGGTGGGGCAGGCGGGTAGGGCTCCGGTCTCAGACTGACTCTGGACGCAGGGAAGTAGGGGACTCTCTGACCCTTGGGGAAGCAGCACAAGGGGAGGAAGGAAGAGGCACCGACTAAAAGGAGAAAATTCGGTATGGTAGTGGAGGGCCGACACTGATCGCCTCTGATCTCTGGGTCCCCAGATGGCTGTGATGAGGAATTGGTGGCCTCGCTGTATTCTCGCTCGCTGGGAGCCTCTTCCTATTACGGCTTCTTCACTGGGCCCCGCTTCGCCCGGCTCCATGGTGAGGAGTACCGGGGCTCGGGACACAGAATCTCTAGTGCATGCAAGACATCTAAGTGCATGTGTGGGAAATCTCCCTGAGTAAAGTTGGGCGGGTATCAGGTGGCCTCCTGGTATGTGACATGCACTTTCTTGGGGTCTGCAGGCACAAGTGGATGGTCGCCTGCCGTTGGGGACCGGAACCCCTGGCTACAAATTGACCTGATGAAGAAACATAAGATAAGGGCTGTGGCCACGCAGGGCGCCTTCAACTCATGGGATTGGGTCACACGCTATATGCTACTTTATGGCGACCGCGTGGACAGCTGGACGCCTTTTTACCAGCGAGGGCACAATTCGGTATGGGTGGTGGGAGCAGCAAGGCAGTGGGTTGTCCAGCGGAAAACATTCCGGTGTCCCTAGTCCCTAATTTCGGTGCCTCCCTGTCCACCAGGTGGCCCTAGGGTGGGGTCAGCAGGTGGAGGCTAGGGAAAGGTGCCTATAGGACTGTGAGGGGTACAGACTCCGTTATTAACCCTTTCAGGGCTCTCCTCCTCCTCCCTCTCTCCCCCTAGACATTCTTCGGGAACGTGAACGAGTCTGCGGTGGTCCGGCATGATTTCCACTACCATATAACTGCCAGGTACATTCGAATAGTGCCCTTGGCCTGGAACCCACGAGGCAAGATTGGCCTGAGACTTGGACTCTACGGATGCCCTTACAGTAAGGGGGAGCTGAAGAAACGAATATTCTAAGGGTCTCCAAACTTATACGCTTTAGTGGGGGAGGGGGAAGGAAAGAGGGAAAAGGAAGGATGAGCAAAGGAGAGTTCAGTGGAAGAGGTTCAGTTGAGGGCCCCTGAGAACTGGGAGTTCCCTGCCTGTGACTGGAGCCTCTGGGTGGGAGCTGGGGATCGGTATAGACAGTGGATGGGTCTCAATGTTTAAGGGTGCCAACAGTCAGGGAACAGAAAAAGCATGGGGAAATTGGAGGGGACCAGGGACTTGAAGCAGCCCTGGTCTTGGAGCAAGGACAGACTAGGCTTCCTAGCTGATTTCTGACACATACATACTTCTATGATCTGGATGGGTTCCTTAAGCCTCTCAGATTTCTCATCTGTAAAAAGGATCAAATTTATCTCAACTGGGTCTTTGTGAGGGTACAAGATTAGGCCCTGAAAGCATATTGTAAACCTTCCAGTGCTAGATGAAGTCAGCTATTACTGTTCCTTTCAGAATCAGACGTGCTATACTTTGATGGGGATGATGCTATCTCCTACCGCTTCCCCAAGGGGGTGAGCCGCACCCTATGGGATGTCATCGCCTTCAGCTTTAAGACAGAAGAGAAAGAAGGACTCCTTCTGCACTCAGAGGGGATTCAGGGCGACTATGTGACTCTGGAGCTCAAGAATGCTCAATTGTGGATGCACATGAGCCTCGGTGAGTCTACCACCAGGGGCTCCATTCAGGACTGGCTTCCCTAGCTCTAAGCCCAGAACAGGTGAAGCTGTCTCTTCTCCATGTGACCTAGGGAAGATGTCAGCTTTGACTGATCACATGACTTCTGACTTCTCATGCAATCTCCCTTATCCAAAACCAAATCTCTGCTTTTCACTCAGTTCTGCCCTTGGCCTCTTGCTTATATACATATTTTTTTTTTGGTCACTCTGTAGGAACCTCATGGTTCCAATTAGTCCAGGCAACAAGTGAGGTGTCATGGAAGGAGCATGAGGTTTGGAGTTAGAGCTCCTGAGGTTAAAATCCTGCCTTGTTTCCTTGTAGGAGTTTAGAGAAATCACTTCCCACTCACAGCCTCAGTTTCCTCCTCTGTAAAATGACAGAGCTGGACTAACGATCTCTAAGGTCCTTTCTAGTTCTGAATTCTTGTTCTTTTTGTATCCTCAATGCCTAGCACAAAGTTTGGAACAGAGTTAGGAGCTTAATAAATACTTCTTGCTTGATTAATGGGATATGAACACAGTTAATAGTAATATCTAGTGTTTATTTATCTTTTCAAGATTTGCAAAATGCTTCACCAGTATTTTTGCATTTGATCCTCACATTGACCCTGTGAGGTAAGTGCTGTTATCTCCATTTCACAGATAAGGAAACTGAGGTTCAGAGCTGTTAAGTGACTTACCCAGTATCTAAGGCCGGATTTGAATGCAGGTCTTTCTGCATTCACAGTATCTGCCATCACAGCTGCTCTCTTCCTGTCTTCTCCCCCACCCCCCACCCCTTCCAGGTAGCAACCCTATCCATGCCAGCCCCGGCCATACAACTGTATTCGCCGGTGGTGTTCTCAATGATTTGCATTGGCACTACTTGCGGCTGGATCGCTTTGGTAGAGACGTCAACTTGACGTTGGATGGCGAGGTGCAGCGATTTCTGCTCAATGGCGACTTTGAGAAGCTAAACCTAGAGACAGAGGTGATGGGGGGAAAAGGGGGAGGAATACCGAGGAATGTGGGGGGCAAGGGTAGAATCCCACTTTCTGAAGGTGGAGGGGGGTTCAAAGATACTAATCGGGGCAGGTGGAGAAGAGACACGAGGGGGTCCATTTTAAGAAAGGGTGTGGCGGGGACACCCATAGAGTTGGGGCACTACGTGTGTAAACACGAGTGTTGGAGTGTGCATGTGACAAATCCTATAAATTTAGGATGCTATTGGGGAGCAATTTTCTCCGCTGAAGGCCCATCCTGGGTGGGTAGAAATCCTAGACTTGGGATGGGTACGAAAACTGGGGTGATTTGAGGTGACTGACACCCTGGCACTGGTACGCATCATTTTCCTGCAGATGTTTATAGGAGGTATAGTCAGGGCTAGGCAGAAGAACCTTGCTTACCGGGAAAATTTTCGCGGCTGCATGGAAAATATAATCTTTAACCGAGTCAACATCGCCGACTTGGCTGTCCAGGGTCATTCTCGGATCTCTTCTGAGGCCAGTATGGGGGAGAATTTGGAGAGGGCAGGAGAGTAGGGGACACACGGGACTCCATATAGGGCTTGAGGACCGTAAGGGAATATGGGGGAGATGGGAAGGAAGAGAATAGGGTCACGCCCTGAGCCGCTCTTACTCCCCTGGAGGGAGGCGGTCTCCTAGGCTACCATATCGATCTGCCATCAGGATCGATAGAGGCTGACTCAGCTCCGTCTTCTCTCAAGCCACAACAAATAGCAGACGGGGAGGGGGAGGGGTGATGGTGGGAATGACTTTCCCCTTCCCCGCTAATATCTCCTATGGAGGGTGTGTCCAGAAGCAGGCAGTGAACCAATTTTCCCCCTCCCCACCCTGATCCCTGACCGCCTAGAGGAAAAACTGAGTCAGAGGGCAAGAGGACAGGAAAGCGGTGGAAGCATCATCCAGGCCCTGCCAGTTGTCAGAAACTCGCAGATGCCTGCGCTAATGGGGTCTGGTTTTCGCATTCTCGTCGCTATAGGGCAAGGTAGCTTTCCGGTGCTTGGATCCCGTCCCGCACCCTATCAATTTCGGCGGCCCACACAACTTCGTGCAGGTGCCCGGCTTTCCCCGCCGCGGGCGCTTCGCTGTTTCCTTTCGTTTTCGGACCTGGGATCTGACGGGGCTGCTGCTCTTCTCCAGCCTGTCCGACGGGCTAGGCCACGTGGAGCTGATGCTCAGTGATGGGCAGGTCAATGTGTCCATTGCTCAACCTGGGCGCAAGAAACTACAGTTTGCTGCGGGTGCGGGCGGCAGGGGAGGGGTTTGGGCGGGGGAGGGAAAGAGAGCTGGGGTAGAGGGGGAAGGAAGGTGTCCCAGGACACCTTCAGCTCCAGAGCATTCCTACCTGGTCCTAGATGAGGGGGCGTGGTGTCCTCCTCTTCAGTCCCTAAGGGGGCTCGATGTGGTGGAAAGAGCCCAGGTGTCAGAAGAACAAGATTAGTTAGTCCTATTCAGTATGCTCTTGAGGAAATCTTTTAAAGTCTCTGAGTCTGATTGGAAAAATAGGCATAATACCATTTGTATTACTTACCAGAGTTGTTA